ATGATGATGATGATGGTGGTGATGATGATGATGATGCGGGTGGGCAGCGGGGCGACCTCGGGGGCGCTGGCGCTGGTCCTGGTCCGCCGCTGCCTCCTGCTCGGCCCTCTGGGGCTGCGCTCAGCCGGCGCACAGGACGGTGAGTGCTGATTGCGGAGCACTGGCGGCGGGACATCCCACACCGGGACGCGGCACTAGGAGCCGCACTCCCACCAGCCCGGAGCTTCTGCTTCCCTCGCCAGGATGGGACTGGAACTTGGTGCGGGATGGGAACTGGGAAGGGGGGCCGGACGGGCTCGCCTCTGCCCCAGGACTGGCCGGGAGGGGCTCTTCGCTGTGTCTGGAACGGGATCGAACCAGGATGGGCTACCGGGAACGGTTCCCCGCTGTGTCCAGACCGGATCACATCGGGACAGGATCGTCGTGGTTCGCCTGCTCCGCTTCCTTTCCGGAACAGGATCTCTGCCATCCCTCTGTCCCGTTACCGATCCGGGACAGGGTCCCTGCCATCCCTTTGCTCCGGTACCGATCCGAAACGGGATCCCCGCCATCCCTCTGTTCGGGTACCGGACTGGATGGGGTCCTCGCCGTCCGTCTGTCCTGGTACTGGTCCAGGACGGAGTCCCCAGTTTCTCTCTGCTCCGGTACCGGACGGGACGAGCTCTGTCCCTGTCCCAACCACCCCCGCATCACGCCGGACCTGCACCCCCCATTTTCCCCGCAGCCCTTACAGCTCTCTCTGTCCCTGCCTCCGGTGGCGAGTACCCTGGGGTTCCCAAGAGTCCCGCATTCGCCTCCATCCCGCCTGCAGGGCTTTCCCAGGGAACCCCTAATCCACGGGTTAAGAGGATCGCTGGTGTTTATATGCAGAACCGGGAGAGCCGGGCAGTGGGCTCCATCCCGGGGATGCCGCGGAGCCCGGCAGCGTCGCTCCTGGGGGGATTTGTAGCCGAGGGGTCCAGGACGACCCTGAGGGAATATTCACCCAAACGTGATCCCAAAGTTCGTGTTTCCCTCGTCCCTAATTCATCCAAGAGCGAGGAAACGACAGAGCATCCAAAGCATTATTCTCCCCGAGGGGAAACTGAGACACGGGGACAGGCTGGGATCACTGGAGGTAGAATCCCCAAGTGTGATTTGGGGCACATCATGCAACGGGTTTCCACCGGATCCCAAACCCACTGGTGGACGTGGGGGAGCTTTCCCGGAGCTGGCAGCACGACAAGCTTTTATCAGAGCATCGCCCTGTTGTGTCTTTATTGCATCCTTTAAGAAAACAAACAAATCCCTGGCAGGAATGACCCCAGCAGGGTCTGGCCGTGAATTCACCCTCACCCACCAGAAATCCAGTTTTTGCATTTTTTGGGAGGGGAGTAAAGTTTCCATGGCTGGGGGGCAAGTCCTCTGTGGCTCTGTCTTGGCTATTCCTGGCCCCTTGGTAGCATCTTTGGAGCCAAATTCCCAGGAGTGTCTGTAGTTCTCAGTTTATCTCTGGCATTCCCTCCCGGCACGCACTGGTGACACTATGATGTTTTTAACAAAGATTTCCTTTCCTTGGATGGGTTTTTCCCGGAATGGGTCCCCACAGCTCCTCTGTACCATCACTATGGATATGGAGCTGGGGAGGATCCATCCAAGACCCCCACAGTTGGGCTCATGTGTCCAGCTGTCCTGGCCATAGAGGGTTTTCCATGTAGATCCCAATGGCTTCAAATTTCTGTGCTAGAAACTCTCCCTAAATACCCCAAATTTCTCTCCCCCACCAGAGCACCCCTTCTGGGAGCTATTGTCCTGGCAGCCCTGGGGTCCCCACTGCTCCCCCCCCCCCCCC